TATATATTTCGGATATGGATGCCAAGAGTTGGATTTGTCCTGAGCCTTCAACTGAGTTTAGTTCTTCTGTGTGGGGGAGTAAGGAAAGGACAGGCAAAGCTGCCTCTGTCACCCATTAGCTGTCAGTCGTGGGGTCCAGAAGAGGGCTTAGCAATATTTCTCAAAGTGTGGTCTTCAGATTCCCTGGACAGAAAATGCCAGATTCCGGCTATTTCCTATTCCTTCTGAAGCAGTGTGTGTGTGTGTGTGTGTGTGTGTGTGTGTGTGTGTGTGTGTGATGGGACCTGGAATCTTCATTTCAACCCAAATTCCACAGATGATTTTCATGCACAGTAAAAATTTAAAGTCTTTAGGTTAGAGGATGGGGGGAGTCCTTTGAGGGATGCCCCCAGCCTTCACTAAAAATTTTCTTATATCAGGGAGGATGCCATTGCGCCTGGGATTTCGGAGCAAACTTCTGTGAGACCTGATTCTAGCAAAGGGCTCCTGGAGAGGCCCCCCTCTGCCAGTAGTGTGACGACCACCAAGTCCAAGCTCCCTATGGTTGTCTGATTTCTTCACCTATCCTTGAGGGGGAATATCAAGAATTAAAGCCTTTGGGTACCATATTGTCTCCCTCTTCTTTCTGCCGGCATAGCAAATTCCTCTAGGCGGCACAAAGAGTGTTACCAGTACGCGAAGGAATGGGCTTGGAGTCCTAGAGGAGATGCTGTAGGTGGGAAGTTTGGTTGGCTGCAAGAGAGTAGGTTTTAACAAGGTCCTCTTCCCATTTTTCCCCCTCCTCACCTCCACTTTTGGGTTTGGTCAAGTGAAATTTGCTCAAGCTTCAGGCGATGGCCTTGTGCACCCAAACTCCCTCCCGTCCGGCACCCTCTGAATACTTGGACATTCCTCTTTATTGTTCACATTCCAATCCAGCACGGTCACATGCACACACGGAGATAAAAATCCTTCGGGCCACAGCCCCAGGAGCCCGGCGGGGGGCGGGGCTAGCAGGGCGGGGGCGGGGCCGCGGCAGACTCCTCCTACCGAGCCTCCCAGGCGCTCGGCGTTTGCATAAACAAGATGAGAGCTGGAGAGGTGGCTCTCGGGGTGCGCTGGGGAGAGGGGAAGCAGATTACAGGCAGGCGTGGGGTTGGGGTGCGAAATAGGTACTTCCCTTACAATCAGAGCAGGAGGTATCCAACACCATAAAAACCCTCTTTCCCTCTCTCCTCTCCCCAGAGCCAAAGTTCTGGGGCTAGGCTGGGGCGCGAACAGCACAGAGACGCAGAGCGCCCCCTTTATCTGCGCACAGAACGAAAGGACTTTTTTTTTTTTTTTAAGTTAGTGTACTTGGGCGACGCTTAGGGCGCCCTCCGCAGTGCGCGCAGGGAAGTGCACGGAGGCTGCGGAGGCAGAGCTGCATGCGGGGTGCGGGCAGAGGTGGGCGAGAAGCAAAAGAAGGAAGATGTGAGAGCGCGGGGTTTGGGGCTAGGGTGGGAAGGAAGGGCGAATGGGGACCATATTAGACTGGAGGACTAACTAAAAGGGCAGGGACTTAGCGACTCCTCGACGGAGACTGCCTGGGAGAGGGAGTCTCTGGGGACGCAGGGAGGGCTCCTGAAGCTGGCAGGCTGGTGGGAAGGAGAGGATCACAAACACGGCAGGGAAGTCTCGTCACTGCGAAGGGGACGCGGCATCCATCTCTCCTTGGCAACTGAGGACAGAGAAGGTCTGAGCACCTGCCCTCCTGGGTACTTCCTCTGTCCCCTTCCTTCTCCCTTCCTGAACCAGGACACCAGGGCGGGGAGCGCCAGGGGACCCCAGTCACCCAGAACCCCCACCCGAGTCACTGAGCTGAAATAAGCCCGTGGCCAGTGCGTGTGTGCGCCGCAGTGTGTTTATAGCCTCAGGCCGGGTTTGTGCAGCCAAATGGGGGTGGCTGCGTTTCTGTGTTGGTCCAGGTGTGTCCCTGTCGCAGCCTCAGGCGTCCTGATGTATCAGAAAACCCGTAGGCTGGAGGGGGTGACGGCGGGCAGAGGGAAGGGTGGGGGATTTGGTCCTTTTCTCCCCCTCAGGCCTCCCACCCGCTTCCGAGTCTTATTAATTACCTTTGAAAATGCTCAGTTCTTCGGTCCAGGGCGGGGCAGAAGGGGGGGAGGAGAGAGAGGAACAGGTGAGCTCTCGGAACCCGCAGCACCCTCAGCCTCCTCCCAGCCACCCACCCCAGGTCTCGCCTGGGAGCCCCCGACCCTTAGCTCCCTCTCCACCCCGCAGCCCGCCCGTAGTCTCCGGGCTCCTTCGGAGGGGGAGCGGGGCCGCTCGGCAGGTCCCGGGTTTGGGAAGGGGGAACCTGCCGCCCGCCGCGCCCCGCCCGCCTCACCTGGCCTAGTCTCCGCTGGGGCCGCCGCCCGCGCCTCCCCGGGCGCCCCCAGCTCCGCCCGTTCCCCCGTGGCCCGGGCCCTTCCGGCCGCGCTCTCCACTCTTTATCTTCTTCCGCGCCATGTGGCCCCGGAAACTCGCCTGGATTTTGGCCGCCGCTGCGTTGGCGCCAGGATCGTCCAGCGGGATGTCTAGGATGTCGTCGTCCGGCTTGGAGCACGCGCTCTCCTGGGGGCGGGGCAGAGGTGACTGGGATGAGACCCCGACAGGGTGGGGTAGGAGTAGAGCCTTGCGGGGGGGGGGACCGACGCGCGAGTGGGAAGCGCAGAGAGGGGAGCTACGGGCGTGGGGAAGGACTGAGCAAGGGCCGCGCGCGCTGGGTGTGTGTGTGTGTGTGTGTGTGTGTGTGTGCGCGCCTCCTGGAAAGCGGCAAGCAAAAAGTTAGGGTCATGGTCAGGTGGACACAGCTGTGTTTCCAACTGAGGAAAGAGTCGTGCATGGTGGGATGGGGTACAAGACAGCCAGATAGCCCTCAGTGAGCTGAGCGAAGGGTCCATCACCAGCGGCCCGAGCTGGAGAGCGGCAGAGCTGATGGAGGGTGGGCTGGGAGGCGCAAAGTAAACAGCAGCAGGGACTCCTGGACGTGGCTGCCCCTCCCCCCTGTCCTCAGAGGGTGCCTCCAGATCAGAAGGGCCCCTTCTGAGTCCAGGATTCCCGGGACAGGGTGTAGAAGAATCAGGCCAGTCCCTTCCCTAAGTAAAATTACATCAGAGCTCAAAGCTGGAATTAGGGTGAAGGTGAGGCTAACCCCTGGTGAGTCACCCCCCCCACCTAGGGCTAGAGGCCCAGAGACTGCTTTGCCATTGATTCTTCCTTTTCCAATGCTCCCCAGGAGGTACTCAAACACAGCAGAGACGAGGTGGTCTGGAAGAAGCTACAGAGAAAAGGCTTCACTCCAAAAAAGACAAAGGAAAGATAAAGAGGAGCAAGAAGCCCTTGGCCTTGTGTGCTCCAGAAGAAAGGCGTGATGACTATAGCTACCCATTAAGTACTTCTCTTGTTCCTGGCACAGTAACGCGGTGTTTTACAGACGTTATTTTATTTAGTCCTGGCAAAGCTATGACGCACTTTTTATTGTCATCCGAGTTTACCTCTAATAAAACTGATGATGTAAGTGTTTATAAATCTTACATGAGGTTGTACAGATAGTTACTAATGGACCTAAGATTCAGACCCTTGTATGTCAGAGTCCAGAGTATATTTTCAACCCCTATTCCATGGATAAGCAAAGGCAGTCAAGAAAATGAACCAAGCTCTACCTTTTGTTACCTAATGCTTTCTTGTCTCAGCTCCTTCATCTGAAATCAGGATCATTGTATCTACCTCTATGGGTTGTGAGGAAGAATAAACAGCATGATATACATCCAGTTTCTTGCACAATCTAGTTGCTCAATAAATGGTAACTATTATGATGATTCTTTTAATGAATAAGCTGATGTGAAATAGTTGTTTTTATAGGCCAAAAAATAAAACAACCCCAATTTCATATGGTTCAGCCTATAATAATCACATCCACCCCCGGGCCTCAGGTTTCTGTCTCCCACAGCCTGCCCTAGCTGAGACAGGCAAAGGTTAGGGAATAGATGGTATTGATTTTAGAAGTAAGGCTCTGGAATGGAGAGGGCCTCAGTCCCTGAGCCCCTTTGTTGCTTAATATTATGCACAGCATTAATGTGGGTTGGGATGCATATGGTTACTATGGAGTTAAAAAGGCATTTCTCTTTTGATCTGACCCTCTGGCTTCTAGGAATTCTCTCCTCCCCCCCACCCCCATCCCCAAGGACTTCTGCTTTAAAAATGGCTCCCCCTCATCATCTTCGCAATGCTGTTTTCATCTCCTGGGCTTCCGTGTTCTGCAATTTGTGCTCAAGATGCCCACAATTGATTTAAATGCAGTTAAAGGGAGTTATTAAGAAGCCTGTGTGGTTGCGGAGGGGATTGGCACTCTTTTTGTCTTCTGCAGGCCTAGCACTCCCTCTCTGACTTATTCTCCACCTGTAATCAGAAACAACTCTTGTGTCCCTTGATTCCCAGAGCTCATGCCTCTCTTGGGATATCCTTAGGGAACAGAGGTTCTCCTCAACAGAGGACAACGATGTAAAACCAACCAACCAACCAACCAACCAACCAACCAACTAACCCATTCTTGACCTACCTATCCTTGGCCAGCAGCTATGGAGGAAGGGGTATCTTCCCCCAACCGTGCTACGACCAAACTGCTGTCTCTACCCACCTCAACCAGATCCAGAATGGAAACCCAGAACAACTGGCAGAGCCATCCAACACACTACTCCTCCCCCAGATCAGGTCCCTCTCCCTCCAGCTGAATCCTCAGGGCAGAGCAGCTAGGTGGCCTGTCCACAGGCAGAATTGGAGAGTAAAAGGAATCCAGGAAGGGTCATGGTTCTGGGCTGGTGCCTTCTAAAGCCTGAGAGCTCCATATGAACCAGCAGTGGAAACGTGCGCTAGAGGGTAAAACAGGAACCATGGCTTCTGGTCCCAAGCAGGCGTATCACTTCACCTCCAGAGGTCTCAGTTTCTTCAGGCCGCAACTGGAACTTGGCCTAGCCTAGATGGATACATTCTTTAGGTCCCCAATCCTAAAAGCCTTAAGAATTATCCCCGCTGGGGCACCTGGGTGGCTCAGTTGGTTTAAGCCTCTGCGCTTGGCTCAGGTCATGATCCTGGAGTCCCAGGATTGAGCCCCACATAGGGCTCCCTGCTCAGTGGGGAGTCTGCTTCTCCATCTGCCCCTCACCGCATTCTTGTGCTCTCTCTCAAATAAATAAGTAAATAAATCTTTAAAAAAAAAAAAAAGAATTATCCCTGCATATTGCTTACTGTATGCCAGGCCCTGCGCTTTGCACACATTACCTCACTTAATCCCTACTTCAGAGGTCAAAAAACAGCCTCAGAGACATTTTGTAACTTACCCAAGGCCACAGAGCTAACAAATTGTGATGGGATTCGGAAGCCTCAGGGCAGGTAATTATTTCTATGAGTTCAGCTAGACCAAGTCAATCAGACTAAGCAAAAGAAATGAGTGGAATCCAAAAAAATGTCTCTTTGCCTTTTCATAGTAAGTGAATGGAGGGAAGTCATATATATGTGACTATGTAAATCAGCAAATGGTACATTTGAATCAGCAGCTCTGCCTCTTAAAAAAAAAAGCTCTGTTTTCTT